TTACGACGATACTTTTCACAGTGCATGAACGCTTTGATAATAATTATCATCTTCTATTTATTACATTTATTACATTAAAGTATACATTCTATGAACACATTTGCATTGACAGAAAACTTGGGTTTCCAAAGCAGCTTAGATGGCCTTTTAAATCAGAAATCTAAATGCCTGAATGATTTATTGATGTCATGAGTCGGGGATGCATACTAGGTCTTAGGTTTTGGGTGAGATTTTTTTGGCATTATATGACCTTAGATACGCACAATTGGCACGCATTGTGAAGCATGCAGGCTGGAGTTATCGGTCCGAATGCCAGCATTGTCCTATGGGATGAGATATCGTGTCAGCGGCCACGCGCCCGCCCGGCTGATCATACATCACACGTCAGTGCGACGTTGCCGCTAGTCTTCGCGGCGTCGGTCCCCTACTACTGCACTACCGCCCGCGGGGTCGGACCAGCACGGGTACCCGGTATCAAAGGCAAATCAAAGAGCTGTAAAGGATACAAAATACAATTGTGTGATATTGAAGTATTTCAGAAGTGTTCAGCAAATAAAAGATATGCATAAAACAGTGCACTGGAAATGCAAGTGTGTGAATGTCGCTCACCTGCAGGTGAGCGACATTCCATTCGCACACTTAGGGGGGTAAAGGTGTGAATTTTTCCTAGAATATTCACACGTTTACCCCCCAAAGTGTACGAATGGAATGTCGCTCACCTGCAGGTGAGCGATATTCACACACTTGCATTTCCAGTGTGCACTGTGAAAATTAAGCTTGGAATACCTAATGGAAAACTTAGGTCCTCATCCAGAGTCCCGCTGTTGAAATCATTAATCCCTCCAATAGGTTCTTTGCGAAAGTCCCTAGGAAGTTACGCTCCAATCTTTATTGTAAGGCGCTGCAAGGCGCTCTTTTGTCTCAAACTACTTCTAGTATGTTTCCCTACCCACACATGTATATCAACAGGCGCTCTGATGCCTTCTTGACACATTTCAACTGTCTAGAAAGCAATCTTCTGTAAACATTGCCAAAAGGAAGGAAGGACCGGAGAGAAAGGGGACTTCGAAGGGATTCACTAAAATTGGACTTCCAGGGGATTTGAAATCATTATCATTTTGTAGAGGCCAACTTTCGGACGATTTAAAGAGCAAATTTTGTGCTTAAGAGAGCCCAAAATTTCAGTTTATCCTGGAAAAGCAAGTCGACTACGGCCGTTAAAGTCACCGCAATACTGTAAAATAGATTTAGTGTGATAGGGCCAACCAGTAACGGAGATTGTCCAGAAGGCGAACATAGATGTAACCCAGTATGGTGTAGAAGGTTAGTCCCGCCGACTGCCGCCATATTTCCGTCCCACTATCGCTGAGTCAACTTGTAAACATGTCCACCATCACCACCACCACCACCACCCTACAGCCTGGCGCCGGTGTGGTACAATTCATTCATTCATTGCCGCGTGTGTGCGTTCCTTTCCCTCCCTCTTCCACTATGGCGCTTGATAAGCCCCATACAAGATAACCAACCGGCAAACCAAGTGAGGACAGCCAGAGTCATCGAATTATTGGCAGTCGAATTTTGTCCCTACAGTGATTTTCTTCGTAAATAATTTATTCGGAAAGTTTCGTACTATAGGGAAAAGAGGAAAAATCTTGTTGTTTTCGATTTCTAAATAATGAAATCAATTTAGCCTATACAAAACTATTTAGTAACAGCTTTGTTTTGCTGCGCCTTTTTTCTCGCAGGTATTTGGCCGCAAGAATTGCGCGTCGTACCGTTACACTATAAGCTTCTCATAACTCGAGGTTTTCCCACAAGTTACGCCACAGTTTGGCCGCCTCGCTGCCACCGCATTGGTCGGATTGGTTCGGAAGATCAGACCGTGAAGTATGGCCGCGGCTAGCGCGATGGCTCCCCGACGTAGCGTGGCGCCCGTCGCACCCATACCACGTCTCGTCTCCCAAATACGGCTCGACTCACTTTGAGGTGTCCCCTGCGCCGCAAAGCGGGCTCTGGCTCCGAGTGGCATTTGAGGCATGGCTTCTTGAACCACGTGAATTTTCCTACCTCCTCGGCTTGATGTGATATTGGTAATATTTTGTATGGCGAAAATGTCGAATATTGAAGAATACCGGACAATTCTAACATCGCTGTTCTAAAATATGTTCGTAGATGTAAAAAATATTTTGTAATTTACTATTTAGAAAATATGACGTACGTGTACACAACATTGCACTCTTGCTCGTCAACGAATTTCAAGTCAAGTCAATACGCAGTGCTTGAAAATTTTAAATCTTAAAAGTAGGATACTTTCTATAGAAAATTGACCAGTACGCGGCACGACAAGTTTTCACAGTGATGTGACAGAACAGTTTCATGTTTAGAAATTTTTCAGGTTCCTCTGTTGTGTGGTATGTATGTTGCCCCGCCCAGCCCACGGCCAGGTGACTGTTTGAATAAGAATGAACGTCAGCGTCGCACGTTCAAACCACGTGCTCACAACTTCGTGTAACTCACAGCGGAAGGACACCAGCATAAAATTCTTCTTCCTCTATATTTGCAGTTAGTTTGCTTGTTTAGAAAAGACTTCTTCCGAAAATACAAACGCAACAAATATATTGAGTTTCATGGGACTTTGCATTTATATCTTACGATACAACGAATGAAACAATAAAATGTCTTTCGCAACAAAGTGATACCTATATAACATTTACTTATCGATTCGAAATATGAAAAGTCAATCAAGAAAATGCAGGTGAGGGGGAGGGGAGCGGGGTTGGGTTCTGGTATGCAGTTGATAAAATCAGTTCAGTATACCTCTAGTGGGTGCTTTCCCTCTCCCCCTTCGTCCCTTAATTAAAAGAAATCGGACACATCTAGGACCCGAGGCTGATATCATCATATAAGACCACTTGGCCAAGGCTTCAAGGATTAAGGCCCTGCTCGCAACCGGTGGCACGATTGCCGAGCGACGGTTGGTAGAAAATTTCGTACAGTTGTTCATATATAGAGAGATTGATGTAGAGTACTGTGACAACTGTTGTGACATCACGAAAAAGTCAAAAAGCAATACGGACAAAAACACGATAAAACCCAATGAAACTGGAAATTCCACGTAGACCATACTGCCTATGGCACCAGGCAGGGGCCATAGCTTTACTTATTTAAAGGGTACCAGAACTCCTTACCGCGGTCAGCTCATTAAAGGGCCATTAAGACTCGTCTCACACCTGAGGCGGGGCGAGATGGGGCAGCGAGGCGTGGACGTGAACCCCAACAGAGCCCCGAGGGGCCCGAGGCCCGAGCCACCCAGGGCTTATGGATGGACCCGACCCGCCACTCACAAGACGCAGGCGGGAATAACCAGAGAGCGGAGTCGGAGTGGAGCGTCTGAATCACGCATTCAATTCCCAATAAAACGAAAGTCAAAGTCCCAAAAGCGGTCATGTTAGTATATATTAGAATTCCCCAAATTCGATAAAGTTATTGTTTCCATGCGCGGCCGGCACATGGTCCAAGTACCTCACATTTAAATGTGAGGTTGGACGTTAACCTAGTTAGATAGATATACCCTTCTCTACCTCCACCACTGCCTCCTCACTGCATTGGCACACGTTTCGTTTCAGAGGGGCATTCGCAACGGGTACTAAAAGCGGGCGGCAATCAACAGCAGCACGGCCGACCGTTTAGCTGAAGGAAACCTCGTGGAAATCTCGAAGAAAAACCCCATGGTTTAATGAAATTTTGTTGCTAAAAGTGGACGAATTGAGCAAAACTTGTGCTCGAAAAGGTTTGCATTTTAGGGAACAAAATTGTCACTTATACGTAAGGGTTAATAGTGTGCGTTGGAACTATGTATCGACTTGGAATTGATCGACAAGCAAGAATGGGCTGTCGCAAATTAACTACACATTCTGTAAATAAAAATTACTGAGCACTCTTGTATGCGCTCGCCAGTTGTATCCTTTCTTTATCAGTGTACGAAGGGTGGTGGGAGGCATTCCAAGTCCTACTTTCTATCACAAATCTAACAATTCGTTTATTATACATAAAATAACCATAACGCGGGACTTGAATCCACTCAAGATAGTCATTTTAATCAGGGGTCGTGCGCCTCCACACCGCGCCCGGTCCACCAGATCCATACCCGCAAATGACGCAATAAGGCGGGCCTTGACATTCCCGGCTCGTTGAACGGGTTGCGCAAGGCCCCGGGTGGCGTGGCGCACACACTGGCCAAACCAACAGCTCTGAGCAACCAACCAATAGTTTCTGTTGTTGTCCCGTAGTATTAAATCTACAAATATGAGTGCACACTGTGTGTCTGAGTACTATTCAATACGCAGCTGATACAGTTCAGTAGAATCTTCATTGCGTATAATATACCAGGTGGCTGATTCACGCCGCGCACTTTCGTAGTTATACCGTACCGCACGCGTGCATGCGGGCGGGTTGCCTACTCGTGCGGGGCCGTAAGGAGCCGTGCGCAGCGAGCATAGGCAAACCCGTCTGCACCCGAGCTTGCGGTACAGTAAAACTACGAAAGTGCGCGGCGTGATTCAACTACCTGGTATGTGCGAACAAATAATTCGTAACTGTCTATTACAATTACGAAAACAAGATTTCACGAGCTAGATGAGGGCATGGTTTCCATTCGGGTAATAATTCTTAAAAATACGAAATAATTTCTTTGCGGCGAAAAGGGACAGTAATGCCACCATCAGCCGGATTCATTCTTCGACTTACATGACGATAACAAGGCGGAATCGATAATCTTCCTTTCAGTGCGGCACCGCGCTCCAGTTCTTTTAAATTGGCGTCGGTCAAGCAGGTCTCACGATCCGCGCACGACCACAGCTATCACGACTTGTGGGAGAGTTGGGGTAAGTCGAAGCAATAAACTCATGTTAGGGTGAGGCAGCGAATTTAGTCGGGTAGGATAGAAAAGGTACGTACATCTGCCGACGGACTTAAACACGGCAAAAACGGCTGCTTGGTTTTCAAGCAGGCCCCGTGTTGAGCTCCCATAAGATTTCTTGAAGATCAAGCAGGCGTTTTTGTCGTGAAGCCTGTCAAAAAGTGTTTAAAATTTTGGGGCACAAAATGATCTAAAGATATTAAAATTTCGCACCTTTACATAGTTACGATGCCTTTTTAAGGCTGCAATGTGTCTCTACAAAGGCACTTGGTCCTACCCTTGTTTTTCGAGTTTAATAACGCATTTATCAATAATTCACCCACGTTTTTATTTTTTTATTTTTACAATCTAGACGTTTGTGACGGAGCACGCACCAATAGTCGTAGACGTGTGGCCGTGGTACGCCGTCCACATACGAGCGTAGAGCACGGTCACGGCCGACCAGAAGCCGCTCTTCCTCATGAACAGAACAGGGAGACTGACTAACGTGAGCATAAGGGGAAGGGCACGATTGACAGGGAGTTAAACAGGTTGTAAACGTGTACACAAGGGGGCGTGGACTCGGCTCCCATTTGGTTTGTACAGTACAAGATTCACTGTTAAAAATTCTGTACCCAGAAACACAATCTGGTAGAGCCTTTTTTTGCACCAGCTGATTCCTATTATTGTTTCAGCAGTTTAACTTTTCACTGAAAATTGATTGGTGTCTAAAGACGCCAATATCTGGCGTCCTATGCGAAAGAACGACAAAATTTTGGCGCTGAAAGACGCCACTCAAATTTCAGTGTTGCCTCACTGGCAATTTTTTTTTAACCAGGAGAAAATCTCTGCTCCCTTCATAAAGTATAATTTAAACAAAATAAAGTTTAATTGTTATCACTACAGCAAACTTTGTTCCAAAAATGTAGCTAATAAAGTGAAACTCTGCGAGAGCAAAAACTTTGCTGGAACACAAAACACAGTTTTGTTTTAGTTGGTTTAGCAAATTTCCGCCTTTTATTTTTGCGATATCGCAGTCAGGAGGGAAAAGGATCGAGACGGATAGAGCGGGATAGACGGCCGCAGTGACACACATTCGTCCATTGGCGCGGGGCGGGGAAGGCCGCCAGGGCGGTCAGGCGAGCCAGAGAGGGAGCGGACGCGGCTGGCTGCCACGGCTGAGTGGATGGGAGAGAGAGAGGCAACACTGTTCAACTCCGTAAAGAGGGAAAAAGCCCCAGATCAGAGCCCAGCAAGCGGCTAGCCGGTACTTAGCATATATGCTAACAATCCTGAACTTGAAACTCTTTATTTCTCTACACATACGGGGGTAGCTGAAAAACCCCACCGTCTCTAGTAACATTCTTATAAGACGCTAAACTAGTGAGCCAACGGGTTGTCGAGTTTGCAATCGGTCGGACACTAGCCCGGCGCGCTTACCCGACAGACTTTTGTCTCTGTCACTCCCACCTTACGTCAGATATGAGTGAGAGACACAGAGGACTGTCGGGTAAGCGCACTGAAAAAAATTCTTTGTCACGATGACGAAAATAACGTGACTAATTTTTAGTCCAGGTGTGTCGTCATCGGATTTTTCGTCACATGATAAGAGTTTTCTCGTCACCGTGACGAGAAAACCCAGACGACACCCCTGCTAAAAATTAGCCATGGTATTTTAGTCATCGTGACAAAGATTTTTTACAGTGCGCGCCGGGGTAGTGTCCGACCGATTGCAAACTCTAACGGGTTGGCTATTGCATGTGACCACCATACCCCTTTCTGGCACCCTGAAAATATCACGCCCGCTTCAAATGTGCGTGGTATGACAGGAACAAAATGGTGGTGACACCCAACCTTGTACTTTCTTAATATTAGCCAATGATATTTATACGAATTGTTCATACAGGCGTCGAAGGCGCCCTGCTTTTGAGGAAGTGATGAATGAAAAGTCTCGTCAATGAACTCCATGAGTAGGGAGGGGGGGGGGGGCGAGAGGACAAGAGAGGGGTAAGCTCACACTTCCGCGTCGTCTGCAGTCTGACCGCTCCATTTCAGGAACGCATCCGGACGTATTTTCTCAGAGGCGCGACAGAAGGGTGTCGCCGTTGTCGAGGAATGGTCTCGCGCGCGCACGCACACACACACACACACACACACACACACACACACACACACACGCATTCCCCTATCCAACCCTCTCACGTACATACACACAATAGCACTGTGGGCGCGAAGAAGTGAAGCAGAGAGATGCCATCTCGGCGCAAGATGCACTTGTTGTGAAAGCAAGCACAGCCCGACGTTGCGAGTAGCGAGGGCGTACGGCAGGAGTGTTGTGGCGCGCAGGACGAGAAAACAACCAGATTTTAGAATAGGGCACCCAAATAAAACCTCTGTCGAGCAGTATATTTTCTTTGCAAAGACTTCCACCAAAGTACCAGGTGGCTGATTCACGCCGCGCACTTCTGTAGGTATACATGCACATGCACGAGTGCGGGCGGGCTTGCCTTTCGCCCCTGTCCACGGCGCCTTACAAACCGAGCGAGTAGGCAAACTGCCCGCACTCGTGCATGCGGTACAGCATAACTACAGAAGTGCGCGGCGTGAATCAGCCACCTGGTATATTATGAAGCCTACGAAAAGTGTTGTGCTGGTCATTATGTTTATACTAACCCAGCATGTACTTTTCTATGGTACTATTTATCCAATCAAATAATTTGCTTCATGTAAGAAAATCAAGTAACAAATTACGATAAAACTGGCTGAGATATCACAATAGGAGTTATATTCGTACCACAAAAATAATAGATCCATTGCCACACTACAACAACAATAGATCTCAATTTGGTAACTATACTTTGAGATCGCGTGCGACGACACAACTTGTCTGGAAACGTCCCTCACCTGTCATCCCACAAACGCCTGTACGCGTGGTTGGAGGAAACCAGGCCAATCGGCTGCACGGCCCGCGGCCACTGCGAAATTCAAATCTCACTATAGCCGGGGTTTGTCCCCTTTGTTTCACCCACACGAAGCCGCGTGCTAAGGCCCTGCCCCCCTGGAGTGTTTACTGGTTTACCACACGTCTCACACCATTGCACTCGTCGCGCCCCACGCCGCGCCCGCCACGCCCCTCCAACGCCCGCCGCGCCGCCACGCCCTTCGGCCCAACATGTCGCCCCCCCCCCCTTGTTCCCCTGGCGGCCCGGCGCGGCACACGCGGACCGAAAGCATTCTCTTCTAGCATGAAATACCGAAATCCCATTCCACACGGGACATTTGTCGCCCTCGAGTAAGGGCGCAGAAGGAGGCGGTTCGGTCGGGGCTGTCGGTCGTCATTTGTTTCCGTCTTTGTGCCCCGCCAGACACTGTAGTGTCAGTTACGCGATGAACTAGACTTGTAAGAGTCGTTTGACACGCTTCCGAACATTTTTCGACAGATCTTTTCGAAATAACGCGCTGGTTCATGCAACGTTAAATTTCTGTCTACTTCAGAGGACAGGGATGTGCAAGCTCACAGCGTGGGGCTTTCTGGACATAGCCCTAATCACATAGATCCATCAATCGCACTTCTCGGGCTCTATTTCAAAAAGAAGAACATAAGGAACAATGAGGTGCACCGACGCGATCGCGCCGCATTGGGAAATCTGGCAACTTTAACAGTCAGTGTAATTGAGAGGGGCAAAGCGAAAAGCGTAAATGGAACCAACAGTCAAACTATAAAAGAATCTCCGACAGAGCAGCAGGATCGGGCCGAAAAGCCCATAGTGAATCCCGAAAGTAATCGACTACCGTTGGTGCCGGTCGCGACTGAGAGGACCGGTCCTACACTTATCCAAACAGATTGCCGCGGTCCCGTCCCGCCCCGTCCCGTCTCGCGGAGAGGCAGCCGCAGCACGTGTCGGAATGGAAAAAGAGGTGTGCTGCTAAAGTAAACAAAGGCAAGAGAAGTCACGAAAAAAATCGAGACACACAACAACGGTCTGTTCGTAAAAACTGCTCGGGTGTTGCGCCGGGAAAAAGATTTGTTGATTCTTTGGGGCTTTTCTTTTATGTTCCCGCGTCCAGCAGCGGCCCGGCGGGCCGTCTGGCGATGAAGAGGGGGAGGGGAGGACCAGCTGACCGGGTTATAGGCGGTGTTTAACGACCCGCATGCCTCATCGGCCCTAACTGAGCAAGAGAAAAAAAATAAAAATAAAAAGGGCGAAGAACCACGTGCGACTTCTTGAAAGTCGCGCTAAAAGAGTGCTGAAAATACTCCAAATTAGCTGAATGAGTCCCTCAAATGTACCGCCCTGTTGTCGATCTACTGCAAGTTCCCTAGAGCCTAGAGTCCAGTCCGGCCTCACTCGTGCCGGCAGCCATCGCCCGCAACAAGTGACCCGCCGAGCCCGAGCCGAAGGCCTGGGTCCCGGGTCGATAACAGCTGATATAGGGAGACACAGCCAGGAGCGAGCTTTTCTGAGGAGATGTTGCTGCGGTGGTGGCTGGCTATACCTGCTTCCGAGGGTCCACGCAAGGGGATAGGCGGGACCCAGCCGGCCCATGTGTTGCGGGGGTAGCTGAGGAGGTAGTAGTGCAGAAGAGCTCCCATAAGAAAAGCTCGCTCCTAGTTGTGTCTCTCTATAACGGCTGCGGCGCGGTCGCAGAGGCACCGCGCTAGTCTGCTGCTCCGCAGGTGAGAGGGTTAGTCGGACTGTCCCCCAGGCAGAAGCCTCGACTTGCAGCTGCCGTCCGGACTTCCCCGACTCCTCGACAGTGAAAACACGGTCTGATGTTTCGAGGTAAAATATATATACAACATATACAACACCGATAATTTGAGGAATTTTTGGGGGGAGACTTCCTCAAAATCTAAGGAGTTTTCCTCAAACTAACGAAAGTTCCTCGAAGTTATCCTCTTTACATAAAAAAAAATCAGACATTGTTTTAACCGTGCAGATGCGGACTTTGAACTGTCCGAGTGACTCTCCGGTCACGTCGAAGTGTCTGCGGCTGTATAGCAACAGCTGCCAATGGTATTCATCCGGTATAGTATACTCGCTCCGCGCGGTACTCGGCGCTTGTCTCCTCTTTTTGTGCCATGAGTGCCATGTGTCACGGGCGACTACGGTCGCGAGAGGTCCATGTCCGCTGCGTATTGTATCCTCCGCGCCGTGGCGTCGTGTCCCAAGGACATAGGAGTCGTCCGCTCATGCCGTGTGCGTAGGTGGGGCTGGACGTGAACTGCTTCGCGTCCAATATCGCAGCAGGTGACGACAACACCCCTCCCTCTGCTCCTTTACAATAACACAGTCGCTAACAAAGCGCCGACAAAGGGCGGATGAGTGACGCGTACAGGCGCAGAGACTCGCGATTCGCGCCATATCAACATGCCGGGCATGCTTCACGTGTGTTTGTTTTTGTTATAATATAATTTGACTACATCAAGAGGAGATGGAAATTTCAATTCTTGGAGGAACTACTCGGTGCTTTTATTACCGGTTGCATCCGGCGCGACATCCGGGCGCCCAGGGGCCCCCTTATCAGAAACCCTACCCGCGCTATGCCGAGTTGCTGGGCCCTGAATACACTCAGACGAGATCCGAGGACGCTTAGTTGCTGCCGTCACATGAATTCACCCGTAGCTTACAATCCACGACATGACCATGGACCTTTTCGACACTGTAACCCGTGGACTTCAGAGTGAGGCCCACCCTTGATACCACCGAGTTACCACAATATCTGCCCCAACACACTTCAAAAATTAGTTTAAAGTCCCGTTTGAGAAAGTTCGACGTCCCAACGCAAAACGCGGTGAGCCGTCAAAGCCCTAGCGTGAATGGAATGAATATGCGACGAGTCCGTATGGGGCGGGCAGAGGCCTTCGGCTTGCAGTCGACGCATGCCACCGCACCGCCCCGTCCGGGCCACACAGGCTGCACACCGCGCCCAGCGCTAACCTCTCGTGCGATCGTGCGAGAGGATTGCCCTCGGGATGCCGCAAAGTTTCAGAAACGAAAACGCAATGGCGAGCGCAATGGTTGTGATCTAAAATGCGAGTTTCTTCCCCTGCCCATTACAACATTATAGGATACGTAGGGCAAGAATGAGAAACAGGAACAGTGGTGCATTCTAGCCCCCCCCCCTCTTTCCAACAACACTTTGTAGATCGCCGCCCGTCACCCAGTTTCCTGTTAGGTTCATTATTTTCTTTTTCGTTTCCTAACCCCAGATGGTCTGATGAAGTGATCGAACTATTAACCGACAATAAACAAAACGGTAACTTTCGTCAATAAATCTTCATCAAAACGGGAAATTATTAGGTTTGGGTCGACACGGTACTGTTTTTTGAGGAAAAGGTGAAAACATTAAGGCACTCATTTAGTTGAGAGAAACTCCTCAGATTTTGAGGAAATCTGGTCATAATATGAAGGAAATTTCCAGTTTTCCTCAAAATAGATGAGTTTTTCCGAGTTTTCCCCTTTTCCTGAAACAAACTCAGATATTGTTTATACCGTGGAGACACATCCACCACTTCTGCAGCACGGGTTATCTCGGGCCATCATCCCGAAGAGACTATTTCAAAGGATTCTCATATCCGAATCCGACTCAAAAATTGACGAGCGAGGACAAAAGTTTGTTCCTAACATCCGGTACAAGGTGACTGAAACCTCCACCCTCCGTTTGCCGTGTGGAGGGGCCATGGAGTGATGGGCGTGGGCGGGGGCGGGGCCGGCAGATGTGAGGTCAGTTCGGCTCGCACCACCATGCCCCCGAACCAGCAGACGCCAGACGAACGCACGAGCGCACGGCACGGTGCGTACGAGGGAGATGATCGTCGGGCCTCAGACTCACCTCCCTCGCACTCGCCCGCCCCCCGCCCTGAACCCGTTCGTCAGTGCGAGATGCAGTCTGATGGGACGAGGCCGCCTCTCGTGCTCCCCCGGTACGAGAGTGGGGGGAGGAGGGGGGGGGCGGTCCTAAGGGAAGACAGCTGTGCGCAGCACGTGTGTTATTACAGTTTCGTGGCGTTTCCCAACTGATATTCGTACCCACCAAAAGAGAAGGACCCCTCTCCCACTTCTCCTTTGCTATATTTCGATCCAAATGCGCCCCGCGTCCTTGCGGCCTCCGCGCAGCGTCCCTGCACAAGCGCGCGATAAGGGCGGCGTTTGTCTTAGCGCAGGTTACGTAAGTCGGTCTAAGCGTTTAAGACGACTAGAAGTAGTCTCACAGCCCAGAGTGGCTCATAGCCGCTGCCGCGTCGTCAGGTCGCGTGATGTGGTGTACACCCCTGAGCTCATTGTTTACACTTTGTTCTCTGAATGACTGCGAACATCAAAGGAATAGACTAGGCAGAAAAAAATTATCTCACTGTTTCCTGAGGTTCGTATCGGTGATACTGCCGTTTCCAGGAACTGTCGGAGTAAGAGGGGGCGCTCTTTCGCCGAATGATGGGGCCGGGCGAGGACCCCCCCCCGTGTGAAACCTAAATGGGCGCAAAGTCCGAGACCGGGAGGATGACGATGACAATTAAGTAATTTTACTTGAAGTTTTGTGTACATCACGATCCTGAAAGTCTGTCGTCCCCTGCGCCCCACGTCCCCGCCCACCTTAAACCCCACTGCTGCTGCTGTCACCAATGCTGCGATGGTAATTGAACACATTATCAACTCACCTGCTCATGGGAGAAAGAAAGTGTTATCCGGCAATAATCCAAACGACGGCGGGTCTTGAGCTGCGTCGATGAGTAATCCACAGGGGGCGGCGCGAGTCCAGCTCACGCAAAGACACACACACACTAGCGTGCACACACACACACACACACAAAACTGATTGGCACTATTTCTTTTTCGCCTCCTTTGCACTTTTGCGCTGCGGCACCACTGTACACCGGCGGCGGCGGCGGCGCACTCAATGGGAGGGCGGGGCGGGGCCTTGCGCAACACGGCGCGCTTGATTCGAACACTTTTGCCCGCGCCGCTCAGTCAAACACCACTCTGCGTGCTCGGCCCGCCACGGCCATGCGGCGCGGCTCCGCGGCGGCGATCACTCCGGTGCTGCTCCCCGTCGTCCTCTTCCTCCACCACCTTTCGGTCTTTGCCTTGACCGCGGCTGTTCGGTCTTTGCCTTGACCGCGGCTGGCTGGCCGTTCGGCCTCCAATAGAGACCGGCGCGGCGAAGTCCGCGAGCAGTGACGCAACGGCACGGCACCGCGGGACGGGGCGCGGCGGAGCGGGGCGAAGCGGAGCGGAGCTCCCACGCACACACAATGCCCTGGTACACGCGGCGGCGGCGAACTTGCGGCCACCAGCACAATATCCAGCGGACGGCAGTCAGCTCGTCAGCGTCGGCACGACGGTCTCGGGGACACGGACAGCCCGGCGACGACGAGGGCGGGGACGCGGCGAGGGCGCGACACCGGTGCCGCACGTCCTTGGCGCGGCCGTGACAAACGCAGACTGAGGAGGGACTGACTGAGCGCGGCGAGCCGAGCGGCGGGCGCGCGGCAGACGCAACCCCGGATGCTGCCGGCGGCGGGAAGGGGCGGGGGAGGGGGCGGGAGCCGGCATCAACACATGGCCCCCATGTGTGAGTCCAGGGCGGGGCGGGGCGTAGCTTGCACTGGAGCGCGCGAGTCACACACGGGCAACACGCAAGTTGAGCCCCCGCGAGCTGGGACCACCGAACGGGCCCGTCTGACAAACAAACAAACGAACGGACGAACGAAGGGGCGGGCGGCCGCGTACGACTAAACGAACCAAGTAACGACTGCTGGACGCGACGGGCCGGCGCGCACCGCACACTCAGCGCGGCAACAACACACTGACGGCCGGCGCGGCGGCCGGGTCGGGCCGGGCCGGGCGGTGCGAGGTTAGGCCGCGCGCCTGGCGGAGCTGGCGGCGTCCCCACCACCACCACTCACCACGTGACGCCGCTGCGCTATCGGGGCGCCCGGACCCCGCCGTCGCATCGCGGCGCCGAGGAAGTCGTCGTCGCCCTGGTCCTGCTGCTGCTGCGCGTGCGCCCGAACGCCCACACGCCCGCCGCACTCACTAGGCCCGCCGCTGTGCGTCCCGTCGTGGAGGCCGAAAGCTATGTAGCCTACCGCGTGCGTGCGCGTGCGTGCCAGTCGCCGCCCCACGCCACGTTTCCGCCCGTCCTGACCGCCAATAAAGCATTTCGGTAAAGCTGGGAAAGAAGAACAATAAAACGGATATCTCTAATGCTTTCCCGTGGCGATTTCCGTTTTCTTGTTCCCCGCATACTTGTAGATAGTTCAGCTGCATTGCTTTATTATAAGCTATTCCGAAGAACGGGTAAAGAAGAGCAGCCTCGAAGGAGACGGAGTCTTTGTGATTCGTCGCTTAGGTGGAGGGGG